AAGAGCGAAACTGGTTTTTGTCTTTTAAATTAAAAGTTAAAAACACCAGCTGCATCTCAAAGTATTTGTAGGAGAAATGCCCCAAGAAGGCCAAGAAAAGCGGCCCTCAGAGTCCGAGGTGCATTTCCAGTGAGGTTGTCTGTGTTCAAAACTCGCAGCGGATGCCCCCGCTGAGGTCCTTCACCACGCCCTCCTTGACCAGCTTCAGCAGCAGCCTGGTCTCCGTCGTCACGTTGTGCATGGTCTGGAAGTTCATGGCGGCCATGCAGAGATTGTCGAAGTAATGCAAAGGTGTTCTGGGCTGGCTGAGGTCATAGCCAAAGCCGGCCAAGCTGACTTCATCACACAGGTGTGTGGCTAAGACAACGGCAATGACACCAATCGTGGGGACGTTCTGGAAAAGAAAAAAGACCCAACAGTCTGAGCGCAATTCGCTGCTCCCCACGTAGCACGAATGCTGTGCCAAGTAATAAAGGCGGCGATGTTAAACATCCCACGATTTCAGCCTGCTGTTTATTTCCGAGCTTTTTTCCTGGGCATCTCTATAGACACGTTTTTATTTTTAAACAAAAATGGGATGTTCTGCAACTCAATTTTCTTGCTTAATATATTATGAAGGTGTTCTCATATCCATTAGCTTTTCTTCACCCTTCAGAGTCCCATAATATTGCATTGACTATAGTATAGTCACTATACCATCATCTATCTCTATAAAAGGCTAATATGCTAAGTGTCCAACCATCTGACCAGTCGCTATGAGCACACTGACCACCAGGGGGCAGACGCTCAATGCAGGAGCTGCCGAGCTGCAGTGACTTGGCAGCGGTGGTTCTCTGGTGACACACCCTGAAACCAGAGAGGAGGAAACCGATTCCTAGCGGGGCCGCGCAATTCCACCTTCGGCCGTGGGTTATGTTGTTGCTGGGGCACTGTTGGCCAGAATCTGGTTTACTGCACACTTGTGTTTGCATTCCACACCCTGTACGACAGCAACTTTGCAGAGTGCCCTCTCGCACTCTGGGACCCCTCAGGGGATGTTGGAGAGCCGGTTTCGGCCCGATCCCCGCAGGCCAACACGAGGGACCCTACCTGCTGGAGGTACCCCGCTCACTCTGCAGACACCCTTCGAGCCGGGGTGCCACCCTAGGTGCGGCCGGCCGGGGAGGGACCCCAGGAGGTTGGCTCCAGGGAGTGTCTGGCCCGTCTTGCCCAGTCCCGCCCCACCGGCCACCTTCTAATTAATTTCCTTTCAATGTGCATGAATCCGTGCACCAGGTCACTAGTCTTAAATAACATCTCAGTGACCTAAGTGCTAATGTGCTGACTATACTAAAGAGATGAGTCACCAGGGACAACCAATGAACACTGAGGAGCCCTGAGTCAGGGTGCAGAGTGGTGAATACAGATTCAGCTTCTCATCGTGGCCTAGGTTTCCCCACTGGAAGATGCCTCTGTGTACACAGCCGAGCCTAAGTGAAATATGTACAGAGGTCATCCCTCAAACGCAGACAAGAATCGTTAACTCTCGGTAGAAGAAAAAAAAATACCTTATCTCGGCCCCAGAACCTGGACTGTGGCTCTGAATACTGAAGGATGTCAAAGGCAGTCTCTTTGATAATAACTGGATTCAAAATCCTGAAATGTTTTGGCGGTAATGGGATTTTTTCTGCCACCTGCTTCCAAAAGAAGAGTCGTACCCAAAATGGCTGAGGAAAGAAAACAAGAAGCAATCATTAGGGATACGTAATAGTCATCGATCAGTGGAGGGCGGAACGCATCCCCTGATAACCGGGCCAAGCCGTGGCCGTGACCCCTGGCGGGCACGCGTCCTGCAGCAAACTCACAGCTGTGGGCAAAGTCACTCTCTCAACTCAAACTCGCAGCTCCAAAGGACCTGGTCTTTGAAGGTGGCATTGGACAAGGAGAGAAGCCACAGACCCAGCTCTTGTGTGGGGAAGAAACTGCTTAGGGAATGACCAGAGGAGGTACAGCCTTTGTAGGATCAAAAGCCACCATTTTGCCCAGGGAAGACTAAGCAAACAGCCCCAATTCAAGGGTACTAGGTGCTGTGAGTGCCGGCTCTGTCAGGCCCTCACCCAGGGTCCTCTCTCCCTCCACTCACTCCTTTTCCTAGTCCCGTGAAGTCTCTTGGTAACTGACTGAGTCATTTCGTATGAGCTTCATGTCCCAACTAGAACAATTTCTTTTCCATAGAAAGCCCGGAAGACCACGATAACCTGCACAGAATCAAGCGCCGGAGATACAAGTCTCCACCACAGGAAGCTTCTGTGAAAGGTCTCATACCCCCGTATGTCCTATTACTTGTGTGGACCGCTGGTCTGTGCAAGTGAATATAAATGCACTCGCACTCCACGACAGCTGGCCTCTGAAGTTAATTTCAACACAATGGGAGGGACTATAAAGTGGTGTGATTGATCACCGTTAAGACAAAGAAGACTATGACCCGGTGAGGCCGTCTCCTCCACACCCGCCCTCTGAAATGCTGGGAATTTACTCCTGCGAATTTACACCACCAATAAAGGCAGTCTGGGAGAAGTTCTTTGAGAATACTCCCCAGAGGTTTTATGTACATTCTTTTCAATATCCCCAATAATGGTTTACATTAACCCAGGTAAACCTAATTTCTAGAAAAAGCCAAAAGCCACATAAGTTCCAGTTTAGTGAATCCATTGGGTCATCAACCTTAGTAACAACAATTTTTGTCCAAAACTTGATATTCCCATTAAGTAACGATCTTGACCTCCACCTGTGAATCGATCATGTTCTGAAAGCCATTTCCAGCAAGGAGTTCTGAGGGGTTTCCACAGAGGGAGAGGTTATTTAAAACACAACACGGAAGTGAAAGTATGCATTCCACCGAGTCTGCTGAAAAGTAAAAGCCTGCATCACAATTAGAGACCCCAAAGACACACCTGAAGGCTGGATTTCCGTGCTTACCAGGGTTTCGTTCTTTACCATTGCCTGAAGCCAGTTGAAGTCAACACTCTTAAATAAAACAGCCACAAACAAGTCAGTGGAATAATATTCGAAGTCAGACAGTGGGGCACCCTCTGGATAAGTCATCCTTATAGTAGTTTTATTTCCAACATGCTCTGAATATCCCTCAACGGGTGCACTGTTTAACCTATTTAACACAAAGGACAAGATAAATAGACAAAGCAAGCCATTAGCTACCTTATCACACCACAAAAGAATTCCCTCCTGTGTTCTTCATACTTTTTTTAGGCCTGGGAATGGGTAGTGGTTGGGGCCCGGGTGTCCCTCCCAGCAGCCTCCCTGCCCCCACAGGTCCACCCTTTCCAGGTGCCAGATGCATGCAGCCCTCCTTGCCCTGTGAGAGGTGCCCTGTGAGGGATGCCCCCAGCTCATCTCTGAATGCCAAGCAATTCGCTCTTGTCCCATTTTCAGGCAATTCAAACATAGTATATTTTGGGCTTTTTCTGGGCCCTGATGTTTCCTTAAAAGCCTCCCATTGTGCTCAGATACCGGCGGCTCTTGTCAGAATTTCCAAAAGGTAATCAGAGAGGAAAACCTAGAAACTAGGGCCAGGCAGACACGGCGACAGTTATATATGGACAGGGTTGAACGCGGGTGGGGCCATGGGCCCAGGTGCAGCCTGGTCTTAAAGCAAGGATTTGGGACACTTACTACTGTTAGATCAGTGAAGGCTTTGCCAGGGTGGCTGTTTGGGAGAGAAGTCTAAGAATTCTTCCCAAAGCAATACTACTGCTTACACTGTCATTCAGTTTTGTAGTGTGTTTGGTTTTTTGCCTGTACTACGTCACCTGTATCTAACCTTTCTCTTCTATTCCACTTCCTCTTCTAAATCTCAGACACTTACCCCTGGATTATTAAAAGATATTATTAGACAGGACAACAAAATGTAAGACATGAGCCTAGACCAGCTATGTTTTCCTTTTTTTTTTTTTCTGCTCCCCCCACCCGCTTCCTTTTCTTTTTTAAAATAAAGGACATTAGGAAAACTGGTGAAATGTGAATCAAGACTGCAGATAAGGTGTGATGTATCAGTGCTAACTTCCTGATTCTGAATAATGCCTCTGTGCTTCTGTAATAGAATGTCCTTGTTCTTGGGAAACACATACTAAAGTATTTAGAGGTAAGGGAGCTAGATGTTTGCAACGAACTCTGAAAGGGTTCGGAGAAGAATCATCGCATATGTAAAGAGAACCTGACAAAGCCAATGTGGTGAAGTGTTACCAAAGGGGAATCTGGGAGAAGGGTGAACAGGAGTTCTGTGCACTATTTTTGCAACTTTTCTGTTAAGTTTAGAATCACTTTCAGTCTAAAAGTTACTCCCCAGCCCTGGCTGGTGGGGCTCGATTGGTTGAGTGTCGTCCTGTGCTGACTCAATTCCCAGTCAGGGCACATACCTAGGTTGTAGGTTCAGCCCCCAGTTGGGGTGTGTGCGGAAGGCAACAGATGGATGTTTCTTTCGTACATAGATGTCTCTCTTTCCCGCTCCCTCTCCCTTCCTCTCTCTCTAAAATCAATTAAAAAATATTAAAAGTTACTCCCCCAAAGCTTCTCCCTCATAATTATGCTAAGTCACCCTTTCTCTGGCCCTAAGGCTCAGTGGCCTCCCAGTGCCTAGGCATGAAGTCCACGCTCGCCAGGCTGGCGCCCGCCATCACCAGGCACCTTCCCAGCCCCCTTCCCGCTCTCCCAGGGCCTCTTCTTCTTCCTCCTGCCCAGTGAGGCTCCTCACCCAGATCTCACTGCCTGCCCTCCTCCTCCCCGAAGAGCCAGATCCCGCTGCTCTCCTGCTGGAGGCCGCCCCTTCCTCCACATCTCTTCTCCGGTTTCTTACCTCCTCTATCAGCACCCCTGGTTTCTTACCTCCTCCCCCATTTCCCAGTCCTGCACCATTCGATGGGCACGGGGTCCTGTCTGCCTCCCCCAACGCTGCCTGTTGAAGGCCAGGGTTGAGGTTCTGGAAGCCTCAAAACCCTGCATGTGGAATGCTGGTGTCTGGCGTGGACCCGGGGCCCTATGGTGTCCTCATCTCTGACACTGGCCAACCGTGGTGGTTTCAGCGAGGACTGGGACGTCTAAAGCACATGACACGCACTGCCACATAGACATCAGCCAGTGAAAGGCAGTGACGTGTCTGCCCTCACCCCAACCTGCACACTCCTGCTGCACACCATCCTGCTTTCTGGTCACTGGGGCCTACGGGACCCCTTTCGACCTAAAACGTGGTTCTTACCTGTTTCTTCTCTCTTACAAAAGTCTGGTTCTTGCCTACCACACCTTCTACCCTTGCCCTCTCCTCCTTAGCCCCCACATTCCTAAACATTCCCCCCAATCTGATGCTAATATTTACTGAGCATTTACCATAGGCCTGCCACTATTCTAAGTTCTCTAAACCCATTCATGCCTTTGACCTTCACAGTAACCCACTCAGGGATGTGCCATCACCGCCTCCACTTACAGATGAGGAAACGAGGCACAATACAGTCAGGACACTTGCCCGAGACCTCAGCTGCCGGGACAAAGGCAGTGTGTGTACACACTATTGCTTTTAGTTCAAAATATCTGAACTAACCAGAGATTTCTCTCAACGGGTCTATTTTCTTAAGCAGTTCTACTACTGCCTCAGACCCCAGATTAGAAATCTTGGTGTCCCCTGCCAGAAAATCCTGTAATTCACTTTTCCAATATACCTCATATTTGATCTTTAAAAAATGTATTTTTTTAATTGATTTCAGAGAGGAAGGGAGAAGGAGAGAGAGATATAGACATCGATGATGAGAAAGAATCACCAATTGGCTGCCTCCTGCATGCCCCCATGTGCCCTGATTGGGAATCAAACTGTGGCTTCCTGGTTTATAGGATGATGTTCAACTGCTGAGCCATGCTGGTCGGGCTCCTATCTGATCTCTAGCCTCTATTTCTTCTTTCTCCATCTCACACCCGGCCCCACACTGCTCGCCCGGATTGTAGCCTCCAAACCCAGGCTCCCGCCCTATTGTCTCCTGCCTTCAGTCAAATCCACATCCTCCTCTCGATGAGTTTAATTAAGACCCAACTTTCATCATGCTCCCTGTTTCGAACACCCTTAAGATAGAGACAATTCACTGAAGTATATCAAGAGCCTTAAAAACCATTCAAGTATCGTTAACCCAACAATTCTAGGGATTCTTGGAATTATGTCCAAGGAAATAAATCAGAGATGTACATAAAGACACACGCATGAGAATGTGCAAAGCATTTTCACAATCACAAGGAAACTGGAGCTATTCTAAGTGTCCAACAATGGGAGGGTGGCTAAGTAACGTACGATGCCTCATTTAAAGGAATAGTAAACGGTCAAGTTAGTTCCCAAAGACAGAGAATGACCTCAGAAACTATTCATACCACGATGTTAAAAAAGCAAAACACTTCATAAGAATATAAATGCACTCATTAGTATGTATATAGAGCAAAAGTGAAGAAAAAAAACACAGCCAATTAGCAGTGGTTGGTTTTTGTGCCATGAGTGGCATTTTCTTCCTTATATTTTCCTGTATTTTTAAATCTTCAAGAATAAACGTATTTTACTTTTATAATCAGAAAGCACCTTAGCCAGCTAGGCCAAGAAGAATCCAGGCTGGCTCCTTATGGCCTGTTGTGTGTTTTCCGCAGCCCAGCCAGCGGCCTGCAGGGCTCACCCACACCAGCCCAGCTCCCAGGCCAGGCCCCCCACCCACTCAGCATCCCGTCCTCCTGGCCTCGCCTGGCACAGCCTTCCTCCTTTGCTGGCTTATCTGAGCCTCCCCATCCTCCTAAACCTCACCTCTTCTGAAAAGTGTTTTGCCGAACTGGGGTCAGTACCGCACAGTTCGGAGCATCTAATCACATCATGTTTTTGTTTTTATTTCTTCAACAGTCACCTCCCCCGACGGCAGCAGGGGCGTGCAGGGGACCAACAGCAGTGAGCCAGCTCTGGAGGAGGAAGGTTGGTCTAAACCAGCCGTGGGCAAACTACGGCCCGCGGGCCGGATCTGGCCCGTTTGAAATGAATAAAACTAAAAAAAAAGACCGTACCCTTTTATGTAATGATGTTTACTTTGAATTTATATTAGTTCACACAAACACTCCATCCATGCTTTTGTTCCGGCCCTCCGGTCCAGTTTAAGAACCCATTGTGGCCCTCGAGTCAAAAAGTTTGCCCACCCCTGGTAAACCAACTTACCGTATCACCACGTCGAACTGGTTCAGGGCTGGGCCCAGCTCTAGTCCGTGGAGTATCCCGCCACTTCCGATGACCACGCAACGCCGACAACTCTTTGCTTTCAAGTGTTCAGGAAGGTCGTGCTCAGGCAAGAGTTCCAGGAGGCTCTGCACTTTCCCGGAGAAGTGCCGGAATCCGAAAGGAGGGTCGTACTTGTACTCGGCCTCGTTCGCCCGGGGGCCCTTCTTCACGAAGGGCGGCAAGTCCACGCTGTACCGGTGCTCAAACAGCCGCGCCATGGACGTCCTGGCAAACCTGGGCCGGCACTCCTGTTGCAAGACTTGCTGCGCGTATTTCTGAGCTCTCTGGAATGGAATCACACCAACCCACGCTTACAACACTGTCAGGCGTTAGAAATGTACACTTAGAGGTGACACTCTGTCGTCTGTAAGGTGTCTGAGGGAGCTCCCCTTCTGACGGTTGTCTTTTCACACAGAACATCTGCTTTTAAGAGTTAATTTATGCGAGAAACTTGAAGGAAAAACCTGGGAGGATCACATGACATGAGACAGACTCAACCAGAGTATTTATTTCATAAAGGATTATTTATTGTTGTATAGAGTTTTAAATGTTGGCCCCAGCTGTGTTTTTTCTCAAAGCAGGAAGGACCCTCCATCTCCTACCACCCCCAGCTTGACCTTGTTCAAGTAAATTTGGGGGGGGGGGTGGAAATACTTTGAGGTGTTTAAGATTTCATAAAATCCTGTCACACCTTACTACATGGAAGAAGCTTGAAGACATTATGCCCAGTGAAATAAGGACACCTTATACAATGGAATCATGCACAGAAATGCAAATAGTGCATGATTCCATTATATAAGGTGTCTAACAGTCAAATGTATAAAGTAGAGTGGTGGTTACCTGAGACGGGGGGGGGGGGGAACGGGAAGGAGGGTGTGTTTCAGGGGTAGTCCCAGCTTTATAGGATAAATCTGTTTCACAGCGTGAGTTTCAACTTTGTAAGATGAAAAAGTTCCAGGAATCTGTTTCACAATGTGAATATACGTCGTGCTTAAAAAATGCCCAAGGAGGTAAATGCTATGTTACGTGTTTCTTACCACAATTAGAATGTTTTCCATATTTCAGGTTCTAATCTGTTCAGGGTGAGAAACAGGCTTACTTATCAGTTGGGGTAATGCGCTTCATGAGAGTCTGGAAATTACTCTCAATGTAACCAAGGAATAATGTCATGTCAACACAGAAGTTGCCTTGGTGTCATATATAATATTCCCTGTAGATTAACATGTTGCATCGACAAGGAACAACTATCTAATGCCAAGTACATAGCCCAGCTGAACCCACAAGACCCGGAGGAACGTGTACCACTTTCCATGCCCACGGCCTTCCTCCTGGCTTAGTCTGGCCACATGCTGCCTCAGGATCAACCGCTTGGCAGAAAGTTCTCCCTTGTCACAGAGCTTTTTGTTCTCAAGTCCACACTCGGCAGCCTCGGCCCTGCCTTACCCCTCCCACCACCAAACCACCTTCACATGCGTGTGTGCGTGTGTGTGTGTAGTCCTATGTTTACTGGAATATTTCTAGGATTGAACATGTCCTTTGAACTATGACCGTACTATTACAAGGATTATTTATTGCTGCATATAGTTTCAAATGTTTGCCCCAGCTATGTTTTTTCTCAAAGCCTTGTTATTTTTATTAGGTTTTTGTATAACATATTTTTGGCATGGCTGGTATTTTTTTTTCAGTTATACTTGGCATACAATATTGTTAGTTTCAGCTATACAACACAGTGATTAGACATTTATATAACTTATGAAGCGATCCACCCCAATAAGTCTAGTACCCACCTGACACCATACAAAGTTATTACAATACTAGAGGCCCGGTGCACGAAATTTGTGCACTGGGCCAGGGGGTGGGGTGGGGGGGGGCCCTCAGCCTGGCCTGTGCCCCCTCGCAGTCTGGGACCTCGCTCCTGCGTTGAGCGTCTGCACCCTGGTGGTCAGTGTGCATCATAGTGACCTGTCATTCTGCCTTTCTGTCAATTTGCATATTAGGCTTTTATTATATAGGATTATTGATTATGTGCCCTGTGCTGTACTTACATCCCCATGACTATTTTTATAACTGCTAACTTGTACTTATTAATCCCACCACCTTTTCACCAGCCCCTGAGACTCCCTCCCATTCAACAACTGCCAATGTGTTCTTTGTATCCATGAGTTTGTTTCTATTTTGTTTGTTCACTTATTTTTTTAGGTTCCACATGTAAGTGAAATCATATGTTACTTGACTTTGTCTGACTTATTTCATTCAGCATAATACCCTTTAGGGCCATTCATTCTGTCACAGATGGCAAGATTTCATTCTTTTTATGGCTGAGCAATATGCCATTGTATGTATCCACCACATCTTTATCCAGTCATCTATTGATGGACATTTACGTTGCTTCCATTCTTGGTTATTGTAAATAATGCTGCAGTGAACACAGGAGTACATATACCTTTTTGAATTAGTGTTTTGAATTTCTTTGCATAAATACCCAGAAGTAAGATTGCTGAGTCACATGGTAGTTCTATTTTTAATTTTTGAGAAACCACCATACCTGTTTTCCATAGTGGCTGTGCCAATTTACAATCCTACCAAAAGTACACGAGAGTTCCCTTTGCTCCATATCTTCACCAACACATGTTGTTTGTTGATTTATTGGTGAATCATTCTGACAGGTATGAGGCAACATCTCACTGTGGTGTTAATTAGTATTTCCCTGATGACTGGTGACACTGAGCATCACCTATATGTCCTCTTGGGAGAAATGTCTATTCAGGCCCTCTGCCCATTTTTTCCATTGGGTTGTTTATCTTGTTGGTATTAGATTGTATGAGTTCCTTACATCTTTTGTATAATAATCCCTTACTGGATATATCATTGGTGAATATCTTCTCCCATTTGATAGGTTATCTTTTGGCTTTGTTGATGGTTTCCTTTGCTGTGCAAAAACATTTTAGTTTGATGTAGTCCCATGTTTTTATTTCTTCTTTTGTTTCCCTTGCCCAAGGAGACATATCCAACAAATATTACTAAGAGCAATGTCAGAGAGCTTACTGCCTATGTTTTCTTCTAGGATTTTTATGGTTTCAGGTCTAATGTTTAAGTCTTTAATCCAAAATGTGATTTAACTTTAACAAATTGTTCTTAAAAATCCTCCTCCCTTGCCCTAGTCAGTTTTGCTCAGTGGATAGAGCATCAGCCTGGGGACTGAAGGGTCCTGGGTTCGATTTCCGGTCAGGGCACATACCTGGGTTGCAGGCTTGATCCCCAGTAGGGGGCATGCAGGAAGCAGCCAATCAATGATTCTCTCTCATCATTGATGTTTTTTTTCCTCTCTCTCCCTCTCCATTCCTATCTGAAACTCAATAAAAAAGTACTTTTAAAAAATCCTCCTCCCTGACTTTATATTAATAATCCAAAGGTAACTGCAGTTTAGAGATGTGAGATAATTAAACACCATGAGAGGCAAATGGTTAGTGTTAAATAACAATAGGTTCTACTACACTAAGATTTTACTGGATTCCCTGGTAAACTAAACAAGCCAATGAACTATTAAAAACATAATTCTTAACCACCATTACATGATATTGCGATGAAGATGAATATTTTCGATCTAATACCTGTACATCTTGACTTAGCTTCCTGTATTAGCATCATCTACTTCTTGGCAAACTTGATAAGATCTTCCTTGGACAATGTTTCCAGCCTTCCCCTCTTCGGGGAGCCTGCTGGTCGAGCATTCTCTCCACCTTAGATTTCCCTGTCCAGGGGTGGCTGGTGAAGACCCCCACCCCGCTCCATTCTTGAACAGATTCCCCATGGCCACCCTCGGCTCTGCATCCCACAGCCTGGCCACCACCACATGGGTACTCTGTCTGCAGCTGCTATCCTATATAATAAAAGGGTAATATGCAAATTGACCCTAACGGCGGAACGACCAGAACGACCGCTGGACCAGTCACTATGAGGCGCACTGACTCCCTCTTGGTCCCTTTCCCCGGCTGTCAGGCACTGACCACCCGATGGCGAACGGGAACTGGGGGCTGGCTGCAGGCAGCTAGGGAAGATGGCCCTGATCGCAGGCCAGGCCTAGGGACCGTACCCACACACGAATTTGGTGCTCAGGGCCTCTAGTAATAACATATTTGTAGACATGTATCTATCTTATAGCAGAACCCCCACTTTTAAAATATGTTTTTATTGATTTTTAGAGAGAGAGGAAGGGGAGAGAGGGAGAGAGAGGGGCTCTGGCCCTGGTTCTGACAAGGGAAACTGCTATTCTTGGAGCCTCAGATGAGGCTGCAGACACTGTGCATGATCACTGGTCACGTTGTGATGCCTGAGACACCTGGCAAGACTGGCGCTAGTATAGGCACTTTGTGGGCTCAAGGTAGCATCACCATAAGGGCGGCCGCACTTTCTCTCCAGAAGTTTCGTTTGGAAAGAGTGAAATTTAATTCTATTTCCATGTTGGCCGAGTTCCATTGCAGACTTCAAACTTAATTTTCTAGACCGTGAGCAGAGCACAAGGCTTAGCCTCGTCTTCTGACCGTGACCCCTCCCTGGCCTCGTTCACAGTGGGTGCAATAATCAAGCCCTGGCAAATGAATGCTCCCAATGCCACCAGACATGCCAAAAGCAACAGCAATTCTTTTTCTTCTTTTGTTTTAACTCCTTCAAAGACACACAACCAGCTCTGAGAAAGCCCCTAGGGGCAATTTCTTCTAACCAGGAACTCCTAGCCTCTCTCCTCCTTCTTCCAAGTTTTAAAGCCTTGGAGGAGGAGAACCTCATCTTTCTCGGAGAGAATCACCTTTCGGAGCTGTGACAGAGAGGAAGGCTTTCCCCTTCGCTGCTGCAGACAGCTCCAAAGGATGCAGAAGGGTCTGGATTGCAGGCACCGGGGTAAGCAGAGAATGGGTGACTCTCAGAGACACAGGATCTCCCAGGCCCTTCAAATCAAGGCATGGGAATGAGGGCTTCAATTTTTAAGGTAGTCAGGACGCCAATTTTTAAGTTTAACCTGGTTGGATAGCTCAGTTAGAGCACTGTCCTGACACACCAGAGGTGTGTGTTCAATCAGGGCACACACAAGAATCCTATATAATCAAGAGGCAATATGCAAATTGACCACCACAGCCTCACAAGATGGCGGTGCCCAGTGAGGGCGGGGCCGGCTGCTCAGTGCGCCTGCCACTGGGGCCACAGGTCCTCCTGCACCCGCCAATGACTGAGGCTCAGGCAAGTAGGGCCAGCTGAGGTCAGGCAAGCCTCGGATGGCGGCTGCCCGGCC